TTTAAGTACATATGTACGTATGTATGTACATATATGTTATCAATATTTCATTTTAAGGGAGGTATTTTCTTATTATTTAGAGGTTTTATAGGGAGAGGCTGTTGTGCTAAAATGAATCAAAGATCATTTAATCTGGATTTCAGAAATGAATTAAAAACGGCTGTTTTATATAAAACAAATTATACAAACAATAAATGAAAATATTTGCAAATGTTATCATTAAAAATATATAGAAATAGGTGAAAGATCTTTAAAGATTTCATATTTACAAAATTCTAGTTTTTTTATTAATAATACTTCGTTATAAAAGCAAATCGTTTTACACTTGTTGGACAAGCGTCATTCCATCATTGACGTTTAGTTTAACTTTTTTACGTATTATTCAAAAAGATAATTATCAAATTTATCCAACAATGATTTTATGAACATCAACATTTAAAATTTTCAAATTCCTTAAACTAACATTACTAGAATTTCTATTTGTTACAGACATTTTGATTATATCTTCAGACGATAATAGCTTACAATCAATGTTTTTGCAATTAAAGAAAAAACATAAAAATTAACATACGATGTCTAATAAAAAAAAAAAAATAATTGCGATGATAAAAAAATGACTATGTGAAATCCATAATGGAAAATTTGTCACAATACCACGAGTGTGCATAGTCCACAAATCAAAATAACTCAAATCGTTTTGAGTTTTTTTTCTTAAATCTGGTTTAGAATTATCACCAAAACAAAGAATTCAACATATAAACAAACAGCGGGTTCAAAGGTTTTTAAGTTGACAAAAAAAACTTATTTTTTGCTTCGTCATCTGCCACCATTTCAACAACTTTGAACATGCTCTTCGAATAGACTTTAATTTTAGGCAAAAAATAAGTATTAAATAGAAAAATAAAGCAGCAAAATATTGGTCCTACCAAAGTCTAGATAACAAACATTAAATAATATATTGTAGATATTTTCATTTCGATTGTTCTATTTGATAACTGTTATTGTACAGATCCATCTAAACAATATTGCAAAATGTATGTAATGAATGAAATCCAAAACGTGTAACTATTATAGGATTTTGTTAGTTATTTGCTACATACATTGTATGTTGATACGCTTACTGGAGACCTTATCTGGTTACCTTCACTTGCCACCTTAACAGTACACCGCCCCACCCTTTGGCTAGACTGTTGGTGGGTATTTTGTATTATTAATAATAATATGATTCTTCAATTGTTATTACCCACTTTTGGAAAATATTATTAGCTAATATTTAATACAATATGTATTTTGTTAACGTCGAGGTACGAAGTACAGCAGACGAAAATCCATGGAATACACGTAGTATGTTGTGTGTTATCAAATTGCCCCCCAAAGCTTGTTCAGCTGGTGTGTTTACTCATGTTCAAGTGTGTGAGTGTGTGCATGTGTGCTTAACAGCAGTCGTGAGTAAATTACCCTGAGTTTGTGATTTTTTTTTTTATTCATTTAGCCAAAAGATAAGAATAGATAAGAGCCCGTCTTGGTGGAAATACAAACAAATCGTATTCGTTTGTACACAAAAATAGAATCGTCTTTTATAGCACGTAGTGAATGAGCCAAGAAAATATATTCATTCTATTTTACCTCCCATTCCCTCCCCTCTACTTCTTAACGTTTAGAGATTTGACCCTTTAAGAACAAGTGGTGAAGAAAGTCAACTTTTTAAAATTATTTATTCTACTAATGACTATAATACCTGTGGAAAGACTCAAATTAGAACATCAATGTTCAAAGTTTCTAAAAACTTGCCTTTTGTTTGACGACTACAAGGATTTCTAAAGATTGGCCGTTATTCGAATTGTCTCACAACTGTTTTTCCAAAAATATAAAACAAATTTTAAATCAAACAAAAACTTTCCATGAATAAAACTAAAACCGTTAATATATGACTGCAGGTAAAGAAGCTAAGTCTTTAGTTTTACTACATATTTTTTAAAAGTTTTTTTCTTAAAGTAAAATAATAAATTAAGTTAATAATTTGCATTCACACATACATTACCCCTCAAAAGGTTAATTAAATGATCTTAAAACGATTTTCACCATTGTTAAATAAATGTTGATAAAATATATGCCGCATACTTAACATTTTGAAAAAAAGAAAACCATTACGCAGCGAAAACAGTCATTATGGAAAGAAAAGTAAATGGAACTACCCACTGAATATCCCCAAACCGAGAGCCCTCTAGCCTGTCTATGACATGCTGAAAAGGCCCAAATGATAAGAGACCTTATCGCACAATTCGCATACAATATTACACTAGTACCGAGACTCAAACATTTCAGTCGTTCACAAAACGAGCTAGAGAAAACGTTAAATATTTTTATTTAATAAATTTCAAAAAAAAAAAAAAAAATAAATAAATTTTAAAAATTAATTTTGTGAATAATATAAAACAAAATAAATTTCTAAGAAAAATATAAAACACTTAAAAATTTAATAATGGAAAATCAAACAATGATTTTTACCAACAGTCCCTATAACACACCACCCATACCGTCGTTATATGCATCATATCACACCCCGCCATATACATTTAACTACAGTGCTTGGCCAGAGGCATTATATCAGCCCTTTAGTATGAACGAGGATGTTTTACAGATGCAACAACAGTTGAGATTTCCCACACCCCCCATCACCCCTCCCAGAGGCTTCAATAATACTACTGCTTCACAACCTGCTCAAGAATCGCCCGAACATCAGCATAAAACCCAACAACAACGTACACAATCGGTTATTATGAAAGTTGGTCATGATCAAAATCCACAATATTTGCCAGCCGATCTTTCTTATGACAACTTAGAGGAGGATAACAAACATACTCATTCTGGACTTCATAATCAACATCTTCATCACCACCACCAGAGCCATGACCAACAACAACAACAACAATTACACAATGACACCCCTAGCAGTGGAACTTCATCGCCCACCTCACACAACGAATTTATATGCGATTGGATAGATTGTGGCAGGTAAGGTGACATCATTAATTCTTAGAATATCTCATTTTTTGTTTTAACTTGTAGACTGTACACTTTACAGTCAATAAGATAGTTAGCTATCCAAAAGCAATTACATACTTATCAATTTGTTATTTCCGCTCTTATTATTTACAGATACTTTGATAGTCTAGAATTATTAGCTCACCATGTAACTTTAATACACGCAGTGGCCTCATTAACTGATGGCCTCTACTATTGCCGCTGGTCGGGTTGTCAACGTACCGAAAGAGGTTTTAATGCTCGCTATAAAATGTTAGTGCATGTACGTACCCATACCAAGGAAAAGCCTCACCAGTGTCATTTGTGTGACAAACGTTTTTCTAGAGCTGAAAATCTTAAGATCCATATACGTTCGCACTCTGGTGAAAAACCCTACATTTGCACTTTTGAAGGTTGCAACAAAGCCTACTCAAACTCATCGGACCGCTTCAAACATACACGTACACACTCTATGGAAAAACCTTACATGTGCAAAGTTCCTGGCTGCCAGAAACGCTACACAGATCCTTCTTCGTTACGTAAGCATGTGAAAACTTTTAAGCATTCGGTGCAAATTGTGGATTTTAAGGCTACAGCTCATGCCCAACAATCAATGTCCCACAACAATGTAGAAGAAGAATCTCGTCTGTCATCAATGGAAAAAGGACATAAATATCCCTCATACATCATGTTACCAAATGCACCAACAGCTGCTACTACTCAGGATTCCTTTTGCATGGCTATGGAAGAAATGTGTCACATAAAAGCAACCCTGAATTGTTTCTCTACCCCCACCTCTGTTCCAGTCGACCAGGAATCCTATTGGTTGCAAGAAGAAGCCGAAATAAAAGACTCCCTACCCTATCACCATCATCATCATCATAACCCATCTGCGTATCAGCAAACTGCTGATTACACTTTGCAATTAGATTTAACTACAGATAAACCTCTCGACCTTAGAGTCAAACGTTGCTGAGTACAGCGGCCTTATGCGTTTTTGCAGAGATCAAAAGTTGTAAGAGTATTATTAAGAATTTGCATACATACAATATGAGCCATATTAAATTCTAGTCTGACTTTAGTCTTCCTATTTAGTTTTATTACAATTTTTTGTTTTCTTAAAAAATCGTTTTTTATTAATTTAAGTATAAATTAAATAAAATTTGTTCTTTAGAAAATAAGGAATGCATTATAAAAAATCTAAAAAATATTGTGTTCTAATTTTTTCTTATAAACCTTATGATTTTCTCTATTAATTCTTAATGAAGATTATCAGTGTTAATTTTTTATTAATGAATGACATTCAACAATACAGTTGTGATCGTAATAGTAGTGGCAGTTTTAATGAAAATTATCAGTGTTCATTTTTTATTAATGAATGACATTCAACAATACAGTTGTGTTCGCAATAGTATTGGCAGTTTTGCAAAGAAGAAATAAAGAAATATAAAATTTATTTTTAGACAATTTTTTTTTAAGTTTGTTGTGCAATTATTTTATTAATTAATTTTTTACAACATTGTACTATTATTTCGTTTATAGCTGTAGGTATTGCAGAACAAAAAAAAAAAAACAATTAATTTTAGATAAGCAATTTATGAAGGGGCATGGATTTATTGAAGGTTGTCATAAAAAAATTATTATCTTGCAAATTACAAAACTTTAACAAACGTTAAAAGAAATTACGATTTAATTTATTAAAGACAAAGTAATACAGAAGAAATGAACACAAACAAGATTGTCCTTGTAAAAGTACTTACTACTTTTGAAAATGTTCTATCTTTTCCCAAGATTAATAGGGGTAATTTTACAACAAAAACGTACGTTAAACGTATACGCACATACCATTGATTTTATACGTTATAAATATCAGCACAAATCCTATATACCCTCCGCACTAAAGTATCTGGTGTAGGGTGTAAAAACACAGAATGTAAAATCATGGTTATTATCGCTCATAATGCAATAATTTGTTTTTATATATCAAAAAATTTATTATTTGTGAATTCAATACCATTATTATTAATTTCTATAGGCGAATCATTAAAATATCGACGACCATCACTGTGCTTGACTAATTTCAATTTGTAGTCAATTAGTGAATGTGGAAAATAAGCGTTTATCTTTGATTTTGGCAGAACATAGTTGGCATCCACGGTATAGGCACAACAAATATTATGCTCCTGGCACAAAGACTTTAAACGCTGCAACAATTTCTTGTAGTGCGTGGTCATACGTTGCAGCTGGGTATTACAGTCATCCCAGTAAAATGTATCTAAGCCATCAATAGCCAGCAATGAGACTTTTTTATAATCCCACAACAGTTCTTCAATGTCCACAAAGGCAAACTCAAATTGATCGGCTAAGTAACAGGGTAAATGTATAATTGATTCGTAATTATATCTTACTGCTTTTTGGGAGCATATCAAAACATTTTGATTCATTACGTTTTCTACGCACTTCTTATAGAAATCCCAATCAAACTTCTGACAACAATCTACAAAAATAATTTGACTATACTTGCCGCCGTAATAGATTGGTAGTGATGCTCGAGCCATTAATTCATATAGAACAATCCTTTTTCCTGTTCCTGAAGCGCCCGAAATTTCAATAAGAGATTTTGCTTGAGGTCCATTCGCTGGAAAAACTTCACTCCATATATTGTTTAGGGCAGGTCTTTGGTTTGCAATTGATTTAACCATAAATTGATAACCAGATAGAATCATTTTTGAGATCAATAGTTAAATTCACAAATTTTCATTAATTTTTAGCTTTTTTTCACTTTAAAAATTTCACAACTCCAATTGTACCGTAATAAAGCGCGAACTTTTTTTCGATTCATTTGACAGTTTTCTATCATTCACCATGAAATGATATCATAATAAAAATATTTTGTCAGAGACGGAAATATTTGTTCTATAATTAGTTTTTAGTACTTTTTGACATTAACAACACTGTAATGTTTCGCAAATTTCAAATTGAGATATTCATGAATTTTTCAAATAAAAGCTAGCATAATGCTAGCAACAATTTTGTTTTTTGATCTCTTTGCTGTTAATAATTTCGCAATTTAATTTTGTTTCTTTGGAGTTATGTTTCATTTCTATAAACTCACTTCAAAGGCGACTACAGTTAGAACACGCTTTTACGACAAATGGCATTCAAAAGTTTTTTCCCAAAAAAATAGATATATAAAAAATATGGCTATATAAAATACCTTACATATCGATGGTAAATAGTTGGTACCAACTAATAAAAATTACTAAATACTACTATTATTCAAACCTTTTTATTAAATATTTAAGGTACGAACGATTTTGTTTACATTTTTTAAATTATCTTTTTTCATTTTAAATATTTCTTTTAATATTGGAATGGAAATCTCGAATAATTATCACTGTTAATTTCTAATATATTCTAAATCTAAATTTAATATTTTTAACCATACATAGTTGTTAATTATTAAAAATTTCATAAAATCATAAAAAAGGAAAACAAACTGTTGTAATTTAAATATACATAAATATTAGATTTTTGCATTGTTTTAAGTGGTCGTAGTAGTAACCATTTTACTTTAAAGATAAATATGGTTTATTATACAATATTGTATTTATTATTATTTTAATTTTTGTTTAGTTATTAATATGAAACACAAGAATATAAGAAATTTGGTTAGCTATCCTTTCAAAGGATATACACAATTAAAATACTTCCCTATCATTAATATCCCTATTGTAGATCAGTTAAGCACGGAAAAAGCGTACAACTCTTACAATGTATTGACGACATATAGGACATTCACTTAAAACTTTGCCGCAATTGGTGCAAGTCGCCATATGACCACATTCTAAAATCACGCATTCTATAGGAGCATCCATGCAAATTTTACACAATTCGTCTGTAGGTAGTTTTTCAACAGCTGCAAAGCCAATTAAATTTAATTCTTAAGAAACTTTATTTTTCGTATCATAGTTAGAGGGCACATACCTGGTGTAGATTTAAGATTCTTCCATAATCGTTCAACACGGTCTAGAAGTTCTTGTTTTTCACAGCATCCTTTGTAGTCGACTCTATGCAACATTAATATCTCCTTAAGCTGTTTAACAGTTAAACACTCCAATTGTTTCCTAGCAAAATGTACAATTTTTGTTAATATTATTTACATAAATAGTATTTAACTTTATTTATTAAATACTACCCAAAATTACTTACATTGATTCGATTTCATCTAAATTAATAAAACGTGAATCCTTATCATAGAAATGTGCGGTTGTGCTTTCTGACTGATCAACATTGCGTTCGCTTTGAACTTGCTCATCAACTGGCCGCTCTACTGAAATCTCTTCTTCCTCTTCGATTTCATTAGTATGCCTGCTAACGCTGGGTGTAGAAATGCCAGCTTCCGAATCTGAATATTCAATAGATTTTGTACGTTGCTCCAAGTAGGCTAAAAATTCCGATAGTTCTTGTTTAATGTCCGATTCAGACATTTGGGAACTCTCCAAATGTTGGCGCATTTTTTCGACCTGTTGGCGTATGTTAGCCTTATTTTTGCCGCAACGAGTGCAACAACGTTTTGTAGTCGTTTTCCTAATGGCGGCTGAGGTGGATGAAGTAGTTTGTATTTCTTCTTCTATACGAGGATTTTGCAGAACATGGTTTACATCATCATCTTCATCATCTTCAACGCTAGTCTGAGGTCGTCTACGATTAAGATAACTCTCGGAACGACGTCGCGTTACTTTTTTAATGCGGGGTGCTGGGTGCACATGTGTGGGTGTAGGAGGTGGTTGATGATGATGAGTTTGTTGTGAATTATTAGACTGTACTGTATGCTCCCCAGCTTTGTTGCTGTCTTCATTAGATGTCGATGTTAAATTTTCTAAACGACTTTCCTGATGTTGTTGGGTCTGTTGCTGCTGCTGTTGGTGTTGTGCCGGCTCCGTTTCATTGATCTTTAAATCCAACATTTGCCAATGATCTGTGGTATTACTTGTGGTATCTGTGGTAGTTTTACTGTCATCCGATATGCCACCTATTGCTCCTAATTCCTCAAAGGATGAATGTGATGATTCCTCATCATTTACATAGATTTCTAGTTTAGAATACTGAGAAGGAGCTTTTGAGGTACTGGTAGAAGTTGAGGGAGCACAGTTGTTAGAGATGCCATTGACCGAATCATGTTCATCTTTGTTTAGAGAAAGATGTTGCGATTCTTGTTCAGATTTTGGAGAACGAGTACGACCATTAAATGATGCAATAATTTCTTCATCATCCGAACAATTGCATTCATCTTGCATGTTAACATGCCCATTATTTTCAGTGTTTTCTGGCGCAGATGGTGGAAGATTCACCACTAGACTTTCCGCTGTATAAGTCGTTTCAGCACCCGGACGTTGTTCTCCAATTGGGCTGTTTAAGGGATTTTCTGGTGAATTTTGTTGACTACTTGCATACGTGGGTATTACCCGTGTTGTTACTCTGGGTTGCTCTGTGACATTTGTTGTTGTTGTCGTCATAGTTGTTGGTGGTCTATTTTTCGAACACGCTCTACTTTCCAAATTGGCCAAGGAATCACTTATATTATCACTTAAGTTACTAAAAAAGTTTTGGCACGTTTGTTTTATACTATCAAAGGAATTATTTGCACTTGGACCATAATCAGTTGATGGCCTGCCACTGTCGCCATTCCCACCACCATTACCATAATGTTGGGGTGTTGTATGGTGACTACTACTACCACTGCTGCTGCCGCTGCCACCCGAAAATGTTTGGCTGTTCATATCCGTTCTATTTACATATTGCAACACCAACTCGATTAGCTCCTCCTTTTCCACACAGCCAGCAGTGGAAATGTGTTTTGATTGTAAGTAAAATATTAGATCTTTTGATTTGAGTTTTGTTAAATCCGAACGGCCCAAAGGTCTCTTGCTGAACAGCAGGCACCTTTCACACAAGGCATGTTTACGATTGTTGTTGCTGCTGTTGGCCAAACAATTGTGGCAGTAGTAACGTTTGCAATCGTAACAACTGCGTTTACGTTTAAAAACCGTAAATTGCACATGACATCCTTCGCACGGCATTGTAACTTTATCGCAGGATAAAAATGCTCGTACGACCCAATACTGTTTTTAATCTAGAAATTTTAACTTTTTTGTGTTTTTGTAACGACGAATCAATGAATCACTTTCTTCTTTTTCTTGGCAATTGCATTTGTCCAATAATTATTCGTCGTCATTCCTATCAGATTGTTAAATTTGTAGCCTTTGCTCATTTTTTCATCGCGTTCTATTCGTACGAGTACAATTTTATCTCTTACTATATATTACTCTTATCATATTAAATTATTTATTGTTTTTAATCTTTCTTTTTTATATTATTTAGTTCTCAATTTGTTTATTTAATGCGAATAGAAAAACACAATAGTATGTATTTTTTTTTTTTTGCAGATTTGGGGACTTTTTTCACTCTCCACTTTTTCACGGTTATTGTTATTATTGACATTACAAAATGCTATTCATTCACTGTGCAATGGTAACTTGTCATGTCATGCAAAATGACATCTACAAAAATGTAGTGAGAGAAAACTGTGTTGTCGAGTCTTGTGCACGTAGTGTTTTAGTGTTACACAAGATTCATCGATTTAGTTTAATAAAAAAAGTTTTAAATTTGATAAGCATTTTAAAATGCATTTTACAATTGAATAAGTTTGTATTGAACAGCTGCAGAATATTGAACAGCGAAAGATATAATGTAAAAAATGTAATAATTTAGGCATTTATTTTCTGAAATACCCGAGCCGTTATGTTATATTTTACATCGATTGGTAAATTCGATTCTAGCAAATTTTCAATATTTTTTAAGTTTATAGAAAATTTCTCATTTGTAAAAACTAACTTATTTAAGATATATATTTAGATTTTTTTTAATAAAATACAGTCTAACCAATATTCGGAAATAATCCAAAAATTCCTCAACAACGGTAATTTAAAAAACATCCTCAAGCTACTTACCATTATTGAAATACATATACTTTTGATTTGTTTTTTTTTTTTTAATTTTAAATGTATTTAATGTAAAATGCTTTTAAAAATTTATGAATTTTCATGAACTTGATGTTAATGAATGAATATGTTTTATGTATATTTTGTATTTATGTATGTATGTTTCTGTACTTCGGTATGTATGAAATAAATACATAACTACTCTAAATTTTCTATGCCATGAATTACAGAGTTTTCTTTCGAACGTTTTTTATATACAAAAAATTAATAGTAAAACATATAAAAATAACTTTGAAAATAGTTAATGAAATATTATGAATTCCATGCTGCAAGTGTAAAATTCAGAGATCGTTTTTTAAAGATGAGGTTACCAGCACCAAAAAATACGTCTCTATTTTTGGGGGAAAAAAATACATGAAATGAATGAATGATGTAAATAAATGAGGCAGGGAATGTTAAAAAATAAACTATTGCAAAGCGATTAATTACATTGAATTTGTATCAATTGGTAAAAGAAAATTGTTTTAGATTAATTTTATGGTTTAATATACAATTTTACACATTTAGCCACTTTCGAATTTCGAATTTATGCTTTATACTATTGTTATTGTTGTATGCTTTTTTATGTAATATGTTTAAATGCTAATTGTTTCTGTTTTTCGATTAAAATGAAAATGTTTTCTTAATACTATAATACATTCATTGAGCTTGTATTATCATGAGTTTGTTTCTGCTGTAGAGGATCATCATTGTTATTATCATCATCGTGTGTTAGTGTAGTGGCTGCTAGCGTGTCTGTAGCGCCCGTTTCTAAACGTGATTTTTCATAATCAACGAAATCGTCGAATAGACTGGGCCAAGCTTCGGTATCATCGTAGTTATTGATATCACACTGTTCGGAAAAATTTAAAAACATATTCCATGTATCCTTTGGAATGCCTCTTATACTAGGATGTTGCTCTAAGAAATGTATCCATTTACTTAGTAAATCTGGTGTATGTACGGTGAAAACTAATTTCCATAATGAAATGGCCATATCTAATGATAGAATACGTTGATCTGGCTCCAAACCGAATCTTAAAAGTAAAAATATTATTTGTTAGTATTAGATTTTTACATTTAATTTAAAAGTGGTATCAATAAGGCTTTCTTTATTTACTTACCTAAAAGTAAATCGATATAATTGTTTAAACAATTCCGCATCTACTTTTAGCGTTTCGATTGTCTGCTCCAGTCTTATATGTATTGTTTCAATTGTATCAGCTCTCATTTTATGTAGTCCTTCTATAAACTCCGTACGTGTAAAACGACACATTTGCGAAGCATCTAAGCACCAGGCTAGCACCAGTATGGCAAATTCATCTGGTTGATAATTGAGATCACGACATAATCTTTCAATACCCTCGGCTAATATCATGTCCTCGTCGGGTTCTTTATATTCTTCAAATAATTTATTTAAAGTATTATCGGACACTTCCGAGGTTTCTTTAACTAATAATAAGAAAGTACATTATTACAAATTTTTAACATATTAGTTTTGAAGCAAAATACATACCCGTAGCTATTATTTCGCTCATGGCTGCGGCATTACCATTAAGCAGTACTAATGATTTCTTAAAACTACTACGTTTTGTATCACAATGGTTTGCTGGTTTGAGTGGACTTCTAGTAGAGAGCAGTTCGTCAGTTTCTTAAAATAAAAATCATGATTATTAACATTTTTCTATAGTCGATATTTTTCTTAGCTAAAATTATATGTTATAATAAACATTTCACATGACTAACAAGTAACTTCTTACTTATCGAGTTTAAGGGACTTATATGGGAGTTTGATCAATTATAGACCCATTGTAATAAAATTATGTAGAACTATGATTTTTGTACTGTATATTAAAACATCATTAATACGACATTTCATCTTAATATTTGTGTTTTTTAAGATATTAATACAAGTAGTTATGGCATAAAAATAAAATCTATTATTTTGACATGATTTCAAAAATACTTACCATGAGATCTTTCCTTATAGAAAGTACCTCCTCTTGCTGTATGCATTTGATGATGTGGTATGTGTTGGTGATGTTGCTGCTGCTGATGATGATTTTCATTGGCATTTATGTTCAACGATATACCGGTGTATCGACCGTCCACAAGATGTGTAGTATGTCCGACCGATTGTGCAGATGAGGAAGTTGCAGTAGCAGCGCCACTACCCAATGTAGCCGACGTATGCTCTGTGCTTGATTGGAAGCATTTCAGGCAGTTTCCCATAGCGGGAAAGCAAGAAAACGAAACGACAGCTAAAAGCTCTAACAAATTAGCTAGTTCCTTTTGAGTTGTTCTGTTTGTATATTTCTTTTACAATGTTTAGCAAATATACTTCATTTATTAATAACTTACTCGTAATGGGGGGAAATTGTTGTGGCAGTTGTTAAAATATATTTGGTTTTTATTACTACTTATTTTGTTTTATAAATGTACTCAAAGCGATTTAATACTTTTCGTAATTTGATAAAAATTCTTAAAATGTTATGAAAAAGAGGAAGGAGACATTGATGTGAGAATTAGATTTTCTCTGAAGGATGAAAAAAATTTTAGAATAATTTTCGTTTCGTTTGGTTGTTTGTTGAATTGGCACTACGTTTCTAAGACCTACATTATCCTAAAACAAGAAGTATTGTTAGTAATAATGAAAATAATAAAATATTAATATCATCGCAAGTGTTATTTGAGAATATATTATTTTTAAAGCATATGCAACCATATGTTTATTATCGTGCTGTTGTTTTTTTTTTTTGTCCCATGATTACCTGTGTGTGTGTTTGAGTGTGAGTTGGGGATGGTTTAGTTTTTCTTCAAGTCTCTTGTTCTTTCTTCTCCACAATTGTTTTCAGCTTCTTCTTGTTCTTCTGCTCCGATTTTAAAGTGTGTGTGTGTTATGCTGTTGATGATTTTCACTCTAAAATTTAATTTTTCTTTTAAAAGTTCTTTGAGGCATTATTCCTGCCTTCAAAAGTCTTTCAAGCATGAACAGAATGATTCCTTTGTGTCAATGAAGTTTTTCTTAATTTTCAAGGATTTTTCTCAGAAAAATTTTCATAAATATCGCACACACACTTGCACCATGATTTTTATTATGTTTCGTTCTATTTCAATTATTTAAATTTCTATGTTCTTTGTTTTCTTTTCATTTTACCAAGGAAGAAATATTAACATGAATTTATTCTTTTTAAATATTCGTTTGACCAGCAGCAAATAATTTCTTAAAATTTTAATACAATATCTTTTACACCAGTGTTGTGAAAATAAAACAAAAAATATGTATTTATTCTTTTTTATACAAACTCCAATGCATTTGATACATAAAGTAACGGCGTTGACAAGGTATATTACTAGGACGGATTTAAAAATATATATCAAATCATATGTTTTATTAAACTACTTTCTTAAAGAAAAATTATGAAATAACTTAGTAAATAATAAATTGTAACATAAATTGTTACTAATAATAACCTTTATAAGTTTAACACTTAATTGGCAACTGGTTATTTTCAGTTTAAAATATTTTTAGCTTGAACGCCGTTGTATTTTGTAATATGCTTGAATTGGTAGTTTGGTGTATTTTTCTTTGCACGTTTTGACATTTACTTTTAATATTGCCACACTGCTGACAGATTCTTAGTAATACACTTAAAATAAAAATATATAAGTTATACATTTTATTTAAAAATAACCCATTATACATTGGCAACAAAATAATTTTAATGTTTCAAAGGAATTTAGAATCTAATTAGTTTGCTAATAAATTAATTCTATTAATTACAGTATAGCGATCAATCCAGAATCATTTTCCTTTTTTCAAACTACAGACAGCAAATTAAAGAAATCCATGAAACCCCCATTCACCTGTTTTTTGGCCCCTTAACGAATATGGATTCAGATCTAGAATTAAATCGATTCATGATTGTATTTACACCCTTAGAAATATTTAGACGTCTATAAGTGTGGAATTTAAATAGCAATTATGGCAAATTTTGAGAAGTATGTAGTTAAAAATACGATAGATTAAAGACTCTAACGAAAATAAGTTCATGAAAATTAGGCCTTCTCTGGAATTCAATTTAAGATCCTAATATCTTTTAAATTTCAAATTGTAATAAATTCCGTGTAAATCGGTACATTATTGACTGCTATTCCTTTCGAATATCACATAGTGTAGACAAATTGAGAGAACGGAGACGAATATTAATAGGCCCAGAAGAAATATTGTTTGCGTTGTTTTCAAAAAATGCACGTTCCTAAAAATCGATTTCAAAAATGAAAATATAAAAAAATATTACAAGATTTCAAATCTTTCGTTCAATTTTAGGTATCGGTTATCATTAGCAGTACTTTCCTGTTAAATCTAAACAATTTTTAATTTATATATTTGCTCAATTAAGTAAAAAAAGTCTTTTTTTAAATAGTACTAGAAGTTTGAAAATTATTATTTTTTTAATAATATTTTAGATAATAACTTTTGTAACAAAGTATTTTTGTAATTTATTTAGATTTCAAATAAAAGTAGTTTCTTGAAAAGTAACAACGTTTTTTTTGTGAATCATTCAAAAAATTCTTATCAAAATGATAACAACTTTTAAGATACAATTAGAACATTATGGGAACATGTTAGAACAACATTAATTTGTGATAGGAACCATCTTAAACACCCCACAACTCTTCATCCTCAAAGAGCCGAGTTCAATTATTACGCTCTTCTCTCGCATAATCACTCTTTTCATAACTTTTTCATTTAATTTCAAAAATAATTGAGTACAACAAACAAATAACGAACATATTTGGCTTAAACCCATGCAATAAGCCAACTTTGAATTTAGTCAAGTTCTTTCACTCTTCATCAAAAGAAGTTAGACCGGGAAAACGCGCGCTTCGTTGCAAACCAACATTATATTCAAACCTTGTACATGTTGAAAATAAAGTGTGTGTGTCTCTTTATTTAATAATAAAGAAAAACAAAATTAAATTCGAAAGTGTTCAAGTGTTCCAAGCTCACGATCTGTGGCATTACAAGTTTTGCAAGAAACAATAATAAAACAAATAGAAAGAAAAATTATAAAAGAAAAACAAATTTTAGTTCCATGGAAATAAATTAACGTTATGATGACACTTTGAACTTGTCCCATCAAAATAACAAAACAAATAAAATTACAAACAAAGACCTCTAGAAATGCTAGAGTGGTAAAAATAACCATAGTAATGGTTGAGTAAATTTCATCGTATTCGTAAGATACTAACTAACATACATACAAATGTAGTATGTAGAGTAGAGTAAAAATTTACCATTAACATGACATGAAATGCTAAAACAGAGGTTCTAAACGTTTTGAAATGTATAAAACTTGAAAATTTGCTTTTCAGATATTAAATTAAGTAACCGATAATGTTATGTATGTATTTTGATTCAAAACTCTAACGGACGATATTTCAAAAAAAAGGGTCACAATCTTAATGGATGAGAAAATAAAGATGAGACTTTCGGCGTTATTGAGTCACCGACAATAAACTTCTATCTACGAAGCCTTAGTTGTATCGAAAGGTATCGAAAAACCACAATCAGTGTTACCTTTGTAAAGTTTCGGAAAGTCGCTCAAAAACTCGCGAAATCGTTCCATCAATATCGGAGATATGATCACAATTGTAATCAATACTCAATGATTATAATTTTAGGTTTTAGTTTCGAAATTGATTAAAAAAGTGATTTCGTTCGAAAAGGGTCCAAAAGTGGCATGAAATGACAAAAAGTAGCTAATTTAGTTCATTTTAAAAAAGGGTCACAGAAAGTGCAAAGCACATGAAAAAGGGTTAAATTTAGACTTAAGTCATACGACGGTAACGCTGATCACAATACACATTAGTATCAAACAAGAATTAAGGAGATTTTCCTATTGACATTGATACGCATTAACTGCCTTCTTCTGTCTGCCCTGATATCATCTTCTCAGCAGAAATTTAACTCAAATTCGATCCCAGAATCACTAACATATTCATTAGTCTAAATCTGAGAAAACTGTTAGCAGTTTGTTTAACTTTCATGCGAACTTCGTTAAAGTAATAACCTGAGCATTGGGAAAAATGTTTAAGAACCACTGTTTCGATGCCAACATACAAAATTTACAAATAATGCTGGCATTACATGTTGTATGTGGCTTATAGTAGTTGTAACAATATTAATAGTTCACTGAACATCCAAAACAATAAAAAGAAGCAACATAAAAACAATAACAACTTCAGCATTAGTAAGCAACAATATTTGAATGCAACATGTTCGAGTACTTGATTGTTGAACGGGTCGGTCTTCGTTTTGTTTTTAAAAAAGCACGCAATTCAAATATTTTTAAATTTTCGGTTTAAAAATAGTGTTTGTGAGTCTTTATCAAGAATTGGATACGAGTGTCAACCTAAATTATTCACTACAACAAAAACCAAGTAAACAAAATAAGAAAACGTGCAAGTTGTATTAAATTTACAAATAAACAGAACTAACTGACTGAATGAATGACTGTCTGACTGGCTAAACGTGCCACTGATGTTAAAAACAAGGTTTTTTTAAGTTTTGGCCTATTAATGAGCTGCTGTTGTAGTTGTAGTTGCTGCTGTTTTATTGTCTCTCTGCGTCTGTCTTGATCGTACATATGTGGAGACATTCATTTCATTTAGAGTTTGTTGATATTTGCAGTTAAAAAGGAAAGTGTTACTCTGCTGGTGGAGTACTAAATTGCTACAGGTTTTTGGTTGCTGCTATTACTAGTATTGTTGTAGTTGGCAGTTTGTGCTTTAGCACGATCATAAGAATGTCTTCCGATCGTTTTCACAAGTAAGTATCTCTTTTACGTTTTTAATGTATTAAAGAATACACTTTTAAGAGTTATGGAAATGATCCAATTAAGTGATTAGAAACAGGCCTTTTAACAGAAATTTCGATATACGCTATTTGAAAATCTTTAAATATTAATCACGCATGCCGTTAGATTTCGATTTATCAATCAATGTTTATTAAGATTTGAAACCTCAAATTCTTTGGAAGTTAGAATCTTGAATTCATTTAAGAAGAAGTATTTTTATAAATATGTACATATTTTCATTTGTAGGGCAGCTAAAGATGGTCTTTTAGATGTTTTAAAAGAAGCCACACGTAAAGACGCTAATTCAAAAGATGATGATTCTATGACACCCGTTTTGTGGGCCTCATTTGAAGGACATTTAGAAGCATTGCGCTTATTATGTGGTAGAGGGTAAGTCATAACATATTTTATTAAAATAACTTTATTCTCATTACTTATAAACTTTTACTAACAAATTTCTATTCCTTTTTAGTGGTGACCCCGATAAATGTGATCAGTTTGGTAACACAGCCCTACATTTAGCATCGGCTAAGGGACATTTGCGTTGTGTGGATTTTTTGGTAAAATTTGGTGTCAACATCTACGCTTTGGATATAGACAAACATAGTGCCAAAGATTTGGCAGCTATTAATAATCGAGATGAAATTTTACGTTATTTGGATGCGGCTACAGCCAACTTTGAGGCAAACGACAGGTATAATTAAATTGAGCAATTAAAAAATCAGCGTTACTAATTTAATATTAAATTTTTGCAGAAAAAAAGCTAAAGCTATGAAAGAAGTTGCCGAAAAGAATTGTGAAAAACGCATTAAGGAATATATGAAACGTCAACAGAAACAGGATCAAGATTTTAAAGAACTAAAATCTTCTATTTCACCCAACAATGCTGGTAAATCGGGCAAAATGTTATCAACACTAAAGCAGAAAATTTGGTCGAGTCAAGGAAATCTGCATAAAGTTACCAAAGAAGTATCACCAGGTCCTACAAATGGCTCAACTAATGCCGGAGGTGGTGTTAAATTTAGTGAATTGGTGCAAACAGGTTCGGGTAGTTGTGGTGGTTCTGTTGCCAGTCGCAAGGGAAATACAGTATCGAAAATGAAAGGATGTTCTAACATAGACAGCGGTTTCAAAATTGGAGAAATTGAACCGGATGGCCGGCGTACTATTACTTCATTAAGTGGCGTACAAAGAGATTCTGAAGTTCTCTATGTGGGCACTTTTAGTTCGAATGAGGACAACGGCAAACGTGGCAAAATAAGTGGCCTATTTGAGGTAGAAGAGGCATGTAATTCTGATACAGATCATATCAATGGCAAAGCAGGCTATGGTACTCTTTCAAGATCATTTTCACAACCCGATATTTTGGCTGACAATGAGTCTAGTGATCACTTGAGATCTGAAATGACTTTACAAAGACCCACTGGTTTGTTTGATCGTCCAATGTTGGGTAGTATCGCTTTTCGTAGATCTGTAACGGCGGCTCTTAGCCAGCTAAACACTGATGCCTACAACATGGATCAAGATACCACAACACAACCTTCGACTCGTACCAATTCAATTAGCTCCAAATCGCGTTCGGGCAAGCAAAGATCATTTTTAAATCTAACTGATTCTGATTCCGATGGTGCCGAAGCTTACAGTGATGATGATGACGATCAAGATGTAGCTGGAGGACCAATACAACGTTTTCTCTGTGTCTGGGGTTTGGAGGAATATTTACCTATGTAAGATTTACTAAAAGAACATCTGTGGCATCTTTCATTGTAATGTAATTTTTTCTTTGCAGTTTTCAAAAGCAACAAATTGATTTGGATACTTTGTTGCTGTTAACCGAAGCTGATTTAAAATCTCTTGGTCTACCATTGGGTCCCTTCCGCAAGTTAAGCTTTGCTATACAAGAGCGGAAAAATGCCTTGGCCAATCCTGGTATAATGAAGGATTCTCATTTATAGAAATTTTAACGAATTTTCAATAATTTAATTATATTTACTGCCTTTTAAGTAACCGCTCACTCAATTAGTGATATCGCTAACAGTTTGTATTTTACAGTATTGTACAAAATTAAAAAAATTATAAAGTTGATATTAAAACGAAAAACAACAGATACCTTTTCGAGAAATTTGCATTTGAAAGTCGGAGCTCACTTTGCTGAAATATTAGCATAAACCCACAACTGCGAAGATATTGTTATTACCGTTACCTGGCCTTAATTTATCTCTAAAAATGTATTTAATTCGAAATTCGCAAAATTTATTTCAATATTTTTAAAAGTTTGTTCGTCTTAGAAGAAAAAATATATCACAATTAATTTTAAACAATTATATATAATAGATTATTTAAAACTATAATACTTGTTTTATGAAACTTGCTGCATCATGTACAAATCATAATACATTCCTCGCTGAGCCATTAATTCATCATGGGTACCTTGTTCGATGACAACACCCTTCTTTAACACACAAATCAAATCGGCATCGCGAACTGTTGTTAAACGATGGGCAATTGTTACACAAGTACGTCCACTACGTGCCACATCTAAGGCTTCTTGTACAACTTTTTCACTTTCCATGTCCAAAGCTGAAGTAGCTTCATCTAAGATAAGGATTTTAGGATTCCGTACCATTGCACGAGCTATGGCAATACGTTGTTTTTGTCCACCTGACAACTGCGTACCTTTGCTACCCAGTGAGGTGGCATAACCCTGCGGCAGAGATGTAATGAAATTGTGTATATTTGACTTCTTGGCTGCTTCTATGATTTCGGCCATGGGTATGTTATCGCGGAAGTTGTTGCCATATGCTATATTTTCAGCTATCGTGCGATCGAAGAGTACCGGCTCCTGTGATACTAGACCCATTTTAGAGCGTAAAGTATCGAATGAGAATTCCGTGGTGGGTGTTTTACTCAAGTTGACAGCACCACTAACAGGATCGTAATAACGTAGCAGCAATTGCACGCAAGTAGACTTTCCCGAGCCTGAAGGCCCCACCAAAGCTACTGTTGTGCCCTTTTCTATTTCCAAATTAAAGTTCTGTAAAATAGGTATACCTTTTCGTCCAGGATATTCAAAGTCCACATTTTCATAAGTAATATTACCCTCAGTTTTCTGAAATCAAGCATATTAATTAAAATTAATTGCAAAATTGGAATTATTCAAACTTACATCTGCAGTATTAAAGGGTTTATCTTGTGGATTGTGCATATTGGGTATACGATCGAAAAGTTTCATTAGACGACCAGCCGATATAACTGCCTCACTAACATTGGGAGCAAATGCCAGAGCCTGGCCCAACATCCAAGAGCCAAAGATTAAAGCCTCCGAAACCCTAAATGTATATTAACAAATTAATCATTAAACCCTAAATATTTTGCTAATAAGTTTATATTTACTTTATAATATTCTCAAAGTCGATTTCACCATTGGCCACCAAAGTGCCACCATAATACAGCGATAAACCGTAAGCAAAAAATGGCGCTGCTTGTCCCAGACCAAACACAAAGCCTCTAAATCTTAATTTCTTGATACAGGCTTTTTCTACCAGATCAATGTGGGCGGAATAACGTTCCAAGACATTTCTCTCCTGTCCTAAACTGGTAACTGTACGTACATTTGAAATGGCTTCTACTGCCACTTGTGAAGCCTTTTCAATGGCGGCCTTTTCCGCCATAGCACTAGATTCCATAACTTTAGCCTCTAAATAAATCGATAGACAGACAAATGGCACAGTGACCAAAGTAACCAGTGTCAAATTCCATGAATATATAAATGCTACAACCACACCAACGGCTAGCGAAGAAAATGCCTGGAACATAATACCAATTCTGGCACCGGTAGCCTGTGAAAAGGAAGGAGTAGCATTAATTTCGGTTTTATTTACATATAATTTTACATACTCCTTGAACATTCGAACAATCTCCCGCCAGACGGGAGCATAAAGCACCCACCGAATTCTTGTCATCATCAAAATATGCTACTTCCTGTTTTAGAAGTGTTTGAAAAGCTCTGCTTCTTAAACGCGATGTCATTTTAACACCAGCCGTATTAAAGGCATAAGTTTGTATTAAAGTACCCAGTCCAGCCATTATTCCAATGACCAGAAACATATACGAAAAGAAAATCGATTCGGATTTTACGTACTCATCATCTTCATCGGATAAGATCTGTAAAGAGAAAAGACATTTAGCGAAAGGTTATAAATATCTCGTTTAATGAGGAAGGAGATTAAGGCAATTTAGTCCACAGAATTTATGAGGAAAGAATCGATTCCATACCATGTCCGATTATATTTCAGAATTTTCAAACTGATTTTTAAGAGTTGCTAATTATATATTTCTGAAATTTCCAAAATGGCAACTTTAAAGTACATTGTATTAACTTAAATAAACTTATTTCGTTTCTAGTCAAATCAGTTTAAAATACTCTGGAAATGCTCATTTCCATATAAAATGTACGAATTTGATTTAACTTACACCAAAGAAGTCGCCAAACAAAACGGCCCATATGGGGAATGTAGCACCATGCAACATTGCAGCAATACATCCTATTAGAATATAACGCCACTCAGGAGCATTTAATTTCATTAATTGTGTTATGGATATATCGTATTTTTCTTCTTCGTTCTTTTTCGATTTTTTACTCTTACGCTTTTCTATAAAGAAATAAATTATATGAGAAAAAAATTTTAATTCCACCTAATATTAACACTTACTTTTCTTAGTTGTTTCACCAACTGCTTTACTATTATCCTTTTTATTTTCGCGCAAGTCTTCTTCCACATCACTGACTTCATCATCGTCTTCCTCATCATCACTGTTTTGTTGTTGACTATCCACTTTCTTTGAGGACTTGCCAGTATTATCATCTTCCGTGTCCTCAGTACGTTGAGAAATTTTAACGAGTTGGTAGTACAGACCCTTTTTGGCCATTAGTTCATTATGGGTGCCTTGTTCTGCGACAACACCATCTTTAACGAATACTATATTATCGGCATTAGTTATGGTCGAAAGACGATGAGATACTACAAGTGTAGTTCTTCCTTTACTGGCCACTTCTAAGGCATCTTGTACGCGTTTCTCGGATGTAGGATCTAGAGCAGAAGTAGCTTCATCTAATAACAGAATTTTCGGATCTCTAACAATGGCTCTAGCAATGGCAATGCGTTGCTTTTGTCCACCCGACATTTGGGCACCACGTTCGCCCACCATAGTTTTATAACCCTGTGGTAGTTTGATAATAAAATCATGACAATTGGCAGTTCTTGCGGCGTTTTCTATATCAGCCATAGAACAATCTGGTTTTCCATAACGTATGTTTTCTTCAATGGTGGTGGCAAAGAGTACAGGTTCTTGACCCACTACACCAATTTGGGAACGCAACCAGGCGACATTTAAATCACGCAAATCATGGCCATCCAATTTCACCGTTCCCTGTAGAGGATCATAAAATCGTTGCATTAGCTGTAGGGTGGTGGATTTGCCACAGCCAGAAGGACCCACGAAAGCCACTGTCTGCCCAGGCTTTATTTTTAAAGATAGACCCTTGAGAACCTCAACATCGGGACGTGCTGGATAACGAAAATATATTTGTTCAAACTCTATATTGCCTATAACTTCGTGCGGTTTATCTCCTTTGGTATCTAGGGGATCAATTTCCGATTTGCGATCAATAATAGAGAATATATTTTGACCAGCCCCTCTAGCTGTAGCAAATGCTTCTACATGGGGTGAGGAAAAACCTAAGTTCTGGGCACCCATAATAACACCAAATAATATAATCACCAATACTGCGGGAGTATAATGACGATCCTCATCATAGCGTTCTGCGACAATCAATTGTACACCATACCACATGGCAATGGCATAACAGCAGTAGATAATGAACCACATTGCACCGGCACCAATACCCGAGTACAAACCTTTCTTACGTCCCATCTTTTCGGCAGGCACCAATAATTTCGAAAAACGTTCTTCTTCTTTGCGTTCACCACTGAAGGCAAACACGGTACGTATACCAGCAAAGACCTCTTCGGCAACGGCACCAGCTCCTGCATAAGCTTCAAGTTCCTTTTGCGTTAGGGAGCTTTGTATTTTAGCCACCATTGCTGTGGAGATTATGATGAAAGGACAACAACTGATCACAACCAAAGTTAGTTTCCAGCCATAGAAAAATGCCGCTATAATTGCCAACACAAAGGTCATTATGAGGAATACAAAAATTGCGATTTTTTCATTAAGGCCCTCTTTCATTTTATCCAAGTCCCTAGAGACAGTAAAACCAAACAAAAATTATATTCTAATTTTAAAAACACAATTTTAATTCTACTTACTCGGTCATTTTACTGGCAAAATTATTACCCGAAGATGTATCAAACCAAGACATATCTTGTCTAAGAATGGCCTCTAAAAACAGTTTTCTAACACGACCGATCTGTAAGAAAATCATTAGCATTTATTCTTAGAGTTACCTCTTTAAACTTCAGATTAAAAGTTTAGATTCTTACCTGATTTAGAGCGACTCTATTCAAAATATTTACAGCTATAGCTAAAACTATTAATTCAGCCAAAGCACCGGCTAAACTTCCTAGACCAAAAGCAGCAGAATCATCTCTTATAGCTTGCATATTTTCTTCATAAGAGGCATTAGTTCTAAATAAAGAATTATGAAATGGTTATTAAGGGTCTGTCATATTTGAGATGATAATAAAGTATTTACAATTTTTTGCCGCCTCCAAAAAGTTGTAAAATAAAAGTATTTGATGATGTGCCAACACCCACAGTACGATCAATCAGCAAAGAAGAGTATTCTCCATATATAACTATGGAATAAGGTATACCAATTGAGCCCAAGGATGCTAATATTATGCCTAATACGATAAGACATCGTTCTCCAACTGTTGAATAACGAAACTGTAAACAAATCATACAGTATCAATAATTTCTCGATTTAATTATAATTTCTTAATATCTATTTTATTCTTAAACAATTAAGGGGTTTTAACTTACCAATTGAAAATATGATATTTTATAGCTTTTATCTGTATCTGTTGGGGTATCTCCCGGTACTTGAAAATCTTTTGGTAGTGGTAAAACATTTTCGCCTTTTTTTACTGTGGCTTGTGAGAATGTTGGATTTGTATTATTACTATAAGTAGGTGGTGCTTCAATTTCCCCAGTTGCCATTATATACTATGAGATTTTTTCTTAAAAGTTCATCTGAAAATTGGTATTAAAAATTAATATAAATTTGAATACTGTTCCACTTTTTCTATATAAATGCGTAGTATTTATAACAATGTTTACAAATATATAGATAAATATGCATAGTGTATAATATATAGTAAATCTTTTATAGATAGATGGGTTGGTTAAAAGTTTTATAGCGGCCAATTGAGAACTTCTTATCTTTACAATTTAAGTGTAGAATTTGTTGAATATCTTAGTTGTTATTGTATTTTAATTTTTATTTTCCATGACTTGCAAATATTCTTCAAGTCAATATAGTATGATGAAATTATCTGAAATAGTTAATCTTACAGACAAAATTAGCACAAATTTTATTAAAAACTTTAGAACCCGGAAATCTTGTTACAAGGAAATAACAATCATAAAGTACCAAATACATTAAAATATATCGCACTTATCTTTACATAAAAAATTCAAAAAGCTTTTAAAATAATCTCCATATCATAAGGAGTCATAAAAATATGAAACCCTCTAATGCCACTGTCTGACCATGCTTTATTTTTAAAGGCATTTCCTGGAAAGTACTGGATAACGAAAATAAATTTGTTCAAACTCTATGTTGCCTATAACTTCGTGGGGTTTATCACCCTTGTCGTGTAGGAGATTTATTTTCGATTTTCGATCAATAGGGTGGGCAAAAGCAACGTATTGCCATTGCTAGAGCCATTGTTAGGGTTCTGAACATTCTGTTATTAGATGAAGCTACTTCTGCTCTAGAACCTACATCCGACAAACGCTTACAAGATGCCTTAGAAGTGGCCAGTACAGGAAGAACTACACTTGTAGTATCTCACCGTCTAACGACCATAACTAATGCCGATAACATAGTATTCGTTAAAGATGGTGTTGTCGCAAGGCATCCATTTATTTTCGATTCGCGATCAATAATGGAGAATATATTTTCATTAGCGGTTTTAGATTTAGTATGTGCTCGAGATTTCGATTCAATGGAACAGAAAAATATTAAACCCAATGACATCTTCTAGAGTTTTTCCAATCTGGAGAATTTCAAGCAGAAACCAGATTAAGAGATCCACTTCAATATAGAGGTGTATTTTTCTCAAAAAATTCCTCAGAATTCATTTCAAGGATGACAGTTTTTAACAGAAATCATTATAAAATGAAATGGTTCCAGAACCGAACTAGTTCCTGTGCTGACAATAGAAGCTGAATAGTAATAATGAAGAATATTTCTTAGAACTTATTCCCCAATTATTTAAGTATTAAATGATTTCACAACCATTGTAAGGGACTAATTCCGAACTTGTTCAGGAACTGACAATTTCAAATAAAAATCATTCCGGAAGTTATATAGAATAACTTATGCCGTTAAAAATAACACTTCTAAGCCCCGTTAACTCCACCTTCGGTTATCGCTTAACCTATAGATATTTTGACGGTTAAAATGTTTATACCCTACACCACTATAGTGGGGAGGGTCCTAAGCGTTTGTGCTGGTGTTTGTAACACCCAAAAATATTGGGCCTATATCAATCGGCTATGTCCGTCCGTCTGTGTGTCCATGTAAACCTAGTGAGCGCTTAACAGGTCGCAATTTTCAAGATAATTAGATGCAATTTAGCACATACTCTTCTGTTAACCTAAGGACCGTACCCCCCGAATAGGCTTTTGAGCTCATGAATACGTTAAATGTTTTGTATCACTACAAAAATCGGTAAAATTTTGTTTTATATAAGTCTTAATGATATTGCTGATTTTCGTAATGATCGGGCCTCATTTGACCTTATCCCCCATACTAAGTCCCCTTCAGAAAATGACTTGATGGTCAAAATTCACTTATAAACCCTAATATCACGATGATATTCTGCATAAATAAATGATGTAGGCGTAAATCCCTATATCAAAATTTATAAGACCCCCTGCTCCCATATAACCCCTGTTATAGAAACTACCTTTTTTGTCAACAAATTGTTAAAATATTTCTGAATTAAGGTAAAAATGAAATTAAATACTTTATTATTAAAAAAATAATCAAAATTTGTACCATAATCACTGGTGTAGGGTATCATATGGTCGGCCATGCCCGACTATAAATTCTTACTGGTTTTTGTATGAAAACTGTCAATTTAAACATACCATAAAATATAACCAGACATTGATATAATGGGGATAACTAAGCAATGAATTTGATCTAGTTTAACATAGTGTTCTTAAAAATGTATATTTCCTTAGAACCTATTTTTACATAAAATCATATTAATTTGGGAAGTGACAGTTTCGAAAAAAGCTTTTGTATCGAAATCCCATATCGTTATAACGTTCTGTATCTGTAGTTTATATTGTAAATTATTTTTTATTTGTTTGAAAATAAAATGTTTGTTGGATTTGTTTTGATTTCAGTTTTTTTTAACAAATATTAGATAATTTAAAATGCCATAGAAAAAAGTTTGTTAAACAGCTTTTTTTAATGCAGCAGGAAACTAGCATTATATTAAAGTATATAAATACATACTTGTACGTAGATTATAATTATTTTCATCACTTAAATTTCGCACTTTATGAATTAAAAGTCACTTTCATTTTATCAAAATTTTATTTAAAAGGAATATAATTGTTTACACTTGAGTTCCTAAATTCGATTTATAAAATAACAAACACTTTTGCATATTGTTATGCATATAGTATGAATACCACATGATATATTTCAGATCTCTATCCATATTAAAGAGCCAAACATTGAACTCTGTTAAAATGTCTATGATTATGGCAATAAATTTAAATATTTACCAGGAATGAAAATGTATTTAAACACGAGTATGCACGTTTACGAATAAGTATTTATGTATTTAAAAATAAATATAAATTCCACTTTTAACTTATTTGACAGAGAACCCCAAAAAATCCATCCGAAATTGAACAAAGATCGCACACGACTAATTTTGATATTTTACTAAACCTTTCCATTTAGCCTGATAGTTCGCAATATCAAGCATTTTATTTCATCAGATTCTAATTTTTTTTTTATAAGTAGACGTCGAAAGGGCCATATAACAATTTGACCAATAAATACGATAATGAGTTTGATACTAAAAGTGCTTGTAGTAATAATAATGATATTTGTACCCGTAACCGTTATGATAATAATAAAAATAAAGCAAAAACAAAAAATAAATAAATATTTCTATATGAAATCTAGCGTGGTGATTATAAACTTAAATACATATTTGTTTGAAACAGTTGGTTTGATTGGTGGGATCTTTGTTTGATTGTTGTTTATTATAAACAAATATTGTTTACGCTATCAACAAAAAAGTGAAAAAAATTTGCAAAACATTTTGAGACGGCTGTAAGATTTCTTATCACGATTAAAATTATAGCAGTGATGTTGTATATTTCAGACTTATTCGTTATCTCGTTATTCTCTTCGTTGAGCGAACTAAAACGTGTTTATTTATCAGCTGTATACAGTAATAGATTCTTGTAACCGGTGTTGTCCGGGTTTTTAAGTGAGTTTATAAAGTTAATATGATTTTCTAAAATGTATGTTTTTTTTTTGTTCTTATTTGAGACGAGACATTGTTGTTTATAAAATTTGTTATTTCATTTGCCTTTTGTTTTCTTCCTATTTAGTCAAAAACTTTGCTATTAACTTTATTTTACCGCAAAAACTTCAACGGACGATATCTCAGCGATTACAAAAGATTTTTAAACAACTCAAAAAGTATAAAAAAAATATTACAAATTGTGACAGATACGATTGTCGTAAAATGAAATCGAAATATAGTAAAGAAAATAGTAATGATTTAGGTTAAGATATCTAGAATAAAGAAGAAGATATAACAGACGTTAAAGCTTTATTTTAAAGTTTACAGATTAAACTGCAATATTCTACAAAAGAATGCTTTGGTCTCTGGGCAAAAGTACTAAGTTTACCCTTTTTCGCATTTGCCCCCCCCCCTTTTTGTCGCTTTCTAGTCAAACTTTGGAAATAGGTTATATCCTTTACATAGTTCCAAGTTTCAAAAAGTGGATTCAGTCGTTTAGAAGCAAATTAGGCACAAACAATCAGGCAATAATGCCAGTCATATTTAACACTATAGAGAAATAGATTGTCATTACTATGTTATCTCGAAAGAAAAATATGTTAGTTGTGTGGTGTATCATTATACCCTACACCACTTTAGTGGGGAGGGTATATTGGGTTTGTGCTGATATTTGTAACATACAAAAATATTCGTCCTATACCCACCTTAAAGTATACCAATCGGCTTAGAATCGTTTTCTGAGTCGAAATTACTTGAATGTCCAAAATTAACTTATAAACACAAATATCGCGATGAAATTCAGCACAAATAAATATTATATAAATATAAATATATTCACTAAACTTTATCGGGCAAGGTCCATATTTGCCCCTAGCCCCATATAAAGCCTCTTTAATAAAATTAGTTTTTCATCCATAAATTGCTTAAATGTATCTGAACAATGAATTATTATGAAAAATAAATCACATTTAATATTCATAACTGGTGTAGGGTATCATATCGTCGGTCACGCCCGACTATACTTTCTTACTTGTTTTTCACCTGAAATATGAAGTTATTGAGATATTCTCAGTTATTATTCAATGAAATTTGTATTGTTTTTGTTGACTCTTTAGTCACACATATTAAATAGCAGAGTTTAGAAAGAATAAACTCTTTTTATAAATGAAATGTAAAACAAGCAATGCTTCGAAAGAATTAGTTAGTTTAAAAAAAAAGAAAATATCAGAGAACAACATCAAGTATACCATTTTGATCGTCGTGAACTAAATTTTAAGAATAAGTCATAACAGTTACGGTCCCTGGTTACATCAGATCTAGACCACTAACGTAATTATAGCAATAACGCAGAAATCCCTTTTAAGGAACCTTAGATTTGATAAAACCATTAACGATTGTTTGAGTCAATAACAAAAAAAAAAAGAAAAGCGATTTTTAATACATGATCCTTTATATACTGATATTAGTTTCCATAAATCTGACAGAGTTAATAAGAATGAAGTGTACTTCAGCGTTTATTGGCTACTGGTAACAGCTAGTTGTAAACTGGCATGTCTCCTTTTATGTACCAAAATTTCGAAAGAACTAGTAATAGGAATTTCCCGCCGACCGAAAGTTATGTAGAGACGATCTTCTGAACGTTTAAATTTACCAGAAAGCAAACTGCCACTGTAATTGGTACAGCCCACATATAAATGCTCATTTGTAGAAATAGGATTCACCACAACAGCACCGACAGGAAACGGAATTGATGGCATCCATATGTAGTTCTTTCCCGTTAAGTACTCAAAAGTACTTTTAACAATTTCCTGGCCGGCGAATGGTATACAGGCCAAGTTATGAGAAGGAAATGCTTTAGCTGGTATATAATCTCCATTGTGAAAAGCACGAGCAACATACATTGGTGTTTCATCAATGTCGTAACCAGCATGTACTGCGTCAGCGGGAATTTGATCATGTTGTACAAATACCCATGTGTCGTAGTCTGGTAGGTCAGTTGCTGATGATGCAGGCAATACAATATTTGAATTTGAACTGGACGCTGCATCGTCTAGTTGTATTTCAACAGGCTGAGGTTGCGCAGCTTGCGGTTGAGATGCTTGGGATTGTGGTTGTTGATACCATGAATAATTTGGCTCACAAAAGGGTACGGCTCCGAGTAATACTGGTTTAGTTAAAAATCGATTAAAATTATGAAATTGAAACTTAAATTCCTTCGGTTCCTCCTTACAATAAATTAAAATTTCAAAATTCAATAATTTTATTTCCATGCCATTAAAAGGAATATAAAGACAACCATGAGAGGGTAAAATGTTTCCCACAGTTAAACTATTTTGATAGTGTCCTCGGCCAATATATATTGATTCGACACTACTGCTTACACTGCCCGTACTATGGCATTTGTCGGTATAGTTTTGTTATCGTAATTTTGCCAACTATAATTGTCAGCCACCAATAGCTCATAATTTGTTTTGGGGTATTCGACCCCAAGCCACGACAAATATGCCGATTTTTTGCAGGGTATAACTTTTACTGGTAGATAACTGTCTTCATGGCAAGAACGTGCCACGTATATCGGACTGCCGTCGCTTTCATAGCCACCAGCTAAAACATTTTTTGGAAAAGGATCAGAAATTGAAGATGGAATCCACTTGATACCTGAAATTATAACGCAATAGATATTATATGCATATAATACATATGTATGTATATCCAAAAATAAATTTGAGAAATATATTATCTTCTCACCCACCCATGTTTGATGCAGTCAAAGAAATGAATGATCAATGTTTTGAACATTTCCGTTTCTTATTTGATTACGATAAGAAAAGCTTTTATATTTGAGGCAAATAAAGTTTGAAAACACTGCAAGGTCTTATCAGTACATTTCAAAATTAGAGGAATTCCCTAAAAGGAATATGTAACATACTTTGTAATTTAATTTACTTTAATTTAATTTAATTTAAATATCGATCCTTAGTGTGATAATTCCTTTGGAAAAGTATTATTATAATTCCCTTGAAATTAATCATTATCTTAATCTCAATCTCCGGTTATCGTTGAACCGGTAGATATTCTCCCGGTTAAAATAATTTTTGTATGAAAAAGTTATATATGTATATATGGGCAATTTCATGTCAAGTGACCCAACTTAAAAAATCAATTTGTACCAGGTGACTAGTCCAGACACAAATTTTCAGCTCTATCGGTCAAGAACTGTTGGAGTTAGAGGGGGTCAAAGTTGGATATTTTGGTCATACAGAGTTTTTTTCAAATGAGTGTAACTTTTCACCTATTGGCCCTAGCAAAAAAAAAAACAACTTTAGATAGCTATTTATTCAATCTTTCTTTTTTTAAATGAGTCGTTTTTTTGCTCAAAGGAAAACTTATAAAAGTTCCTTTAAGGCCTTTATAGTCGCTTAACGGGATGCGTTTTGTGTCACTTGACACAAAATTGCTCATAATTAATTGGTTTAGAGTCTGTATTCCATGAATTTGTCATGAGTATAGCCAATCTAATATACTTCCTTTAAAATTTTACGGAGACAAAAAAAAATTGGGGTAGAAAAAATTTATTATACTTTACCATAATCATTCTATTTTAAAGATTTTTTATTTGTTTTCTTTTGTTGTTGGTCTTATCAATACAAACCCCTTTTTTTATTTGAATTAAATTAATAAAATTCGGTAAAAGCTGACGCAATGCAATCGATTCACTGTGGTTCCAATTCAAAATCTAGGTGAACAAAATTATTTGAGACTTTTTTAGAGAATTAGAAGACTTTTATTGAAACACTATAGTTTGTAACGCGTCTGCCGCGAAAGGTTTAGCAACTTTCAACTTTTGACGCGTCGACAGCTGACCAGGGTTGTGCGTTTCTTATTCAATTAAGAGAATCCCCTAAAGTCAGTATGCGAAAGTAAATGCGAGAAGCAAATTTTCATATATAAAAGCTCTTGCTTTTAATACTTTGTAATATAAATATAGATCCAAAACCCCAATCAAAAGCTTGTTTTTATTCAAATAATTGAAAAGCTTATTCTGCAAAAGCCAGCGAAATGCAACTTTTCAATGAGTATCAGTGTTGTAAAATGGTGAAATATAAAATAGGGTATTCAATTATTCAAATAACTATTTAAGTTATGTAATTTAGTCGGTTAACCGGGTAAAACGTGAACTGTAAGTTCAAATTTCTAAAGCCGCCATAAATCTTTGAGTCCCAAATTTTGTTTCTTTCTATCAGAAATGCTTTCGAGACTTTTACTATTCCATTACAATACAATTACAAATTATATTCTAACCTATTTTACCGAGCAGGGTGATGATGACCATGGGCCCGTTGTAGTGTAGCAGACCACTACAACGGGCGTATGTTGGGAATCGACCAATAAAACCCCCAGACTGACAGGCTAGAACACTACCAACTACCCTACCGCGGCATCATACTACTTGTTTTATATAAATCTCTATATTTTTAATTTATATATGTTGTACTAAATGAGTAAGAGTACTTTTTCCGATTAGCAGTCCTATAAATGTACCAAATGTTTCATTGATTCGTTATTAATATACAATTTCTGCAAAATTTCATTGCGGTTTTATTTCACAATGCAAAAAACTAATGAATAATTATATGTATGTATATTATAACGGGTGATACATTGTTATTAACTAAAATTAAAAAAAAATTAATATTCAAACTTTTAACTCGAGAAGTGGATTTTATATTGTCACAATGTTTTATTATTAAAGAGCTTAATACAAAAATAACATAAGCCTCATAATAGGGAAAATTGATTGTATATCCAATTCGTGACTTATGAAGTTATTTTGTTTACAAAAATTAGCTGTAAAAGTCTTATATTTTATAGGTTATGTTAAAAAAGTCTCCTTAATAATTCATAGCTGCAGTAAAACCATGATTGTGTTGATTTCTATCCACCAAAATTTCATAACCATGAGCGATTCTTACTTCACGACCTCCAAATGGTATGTAAAGACAATTATGAGAACGCTGAATTTTGCCGCAGGTCAAGCTGCCATTATAGTGAGCTCTGCCCACATAAAGAGGTTCTCCACATGCAGTACGTCCTGCTTCTACGGCCCCTACGGCAAAGCCATTAACTGCCGGTGCCCAGATATAATGTTCACCCACTAGCATTTCATAGCTAGATTTTTGAATTTCCTGGCCCTGATATGAAACATAAGCACTAGAACGTCCTGGTATAGCTTTGCCAGGTAGAAGATCACCACTGTGATAAGCACGACAGACATAAATGGTGGTCATGTCGATGTCATGGCCAGCATGTACAGCATTACCTGGTGTAGTACCGGGATGAGCTGGTACCCATATGTTATGGGGATGTGTAACTGAGGGAGCATAACATGGTGGTGGCGGATTGGGAAAATGTTCTGGTGGTCCGGGATAAGTTGCAGCTGGTGTTACTTGAGGATAGTTAGTTGGAGGTCTTGGAAAACTACAAGCTGGTGTTGGTGGTGGATAATTAGTTGGAGGCTTTGGAAAATTACAAGGTTTGGTTGGATAATTAGGCAAAGGAGTTGGCATAGGCATACAAACGGCTCCATAGGGTGGTGGTGGATCAAGTGGTGTAGTCATAGGTGGTTTTATTTCGGGATATGGACTGGGCGTTGGTACAGGTGGATAAGGACCAGGTTTCTCTAGAGTCATGGGCGGTGGAGGCGGTAATGGATCTGTGGAGGCCGGTAATTGCCAGCCGGGTATCAACTTTTCCTCCACCAAGATCTCATAGGTCTCCAAACGTCTTTCAACGCCTCGGAAAGGTATAAACAAAGCTTTGTGTACTGAAGAAATTTTACCAACTGTCAAACTGCCCTCATAGTGACCACGACCTATATAAACCGGTTGCCCCAGGGAGGTTTTGCCACACAACACCGCCTTCTCTGGTATAATATGATTGTAACAATGACGCCAAACCAAATTGCGACCACATAATATCTCAAAATGATCTTTCGGCAGTTCGGCGCCTCTAAAGGAAACAAAGGCTATTTTTTTGGCCGGTATAACTTTGGCCACTAACATGTCACCTTCGTGAAAAGAACGACCAACATAGATCATATCACCGTCTACATCATTGCCACCAACCACAGCATTAGTTGGTATATTAGCATAGGCAGAGGAAGGTAACCATTTGTAATCTAAAACGGAATAGAAATCAATATTTTATGTTACAAACTCAATAATATTAGTTGAGTTATCTTACCTTCAAATTTAATTAAATCACCCTCTTCTGGATGTGGTGCCACGGCCGCACCTCCATAGACTAGAATTTCATATTTGTCCAATTTAATTTCCTCTCCAGCAAACGGTATATAAAGACAAGCATGTGAGGGCTGTATCTTACCCACTACTAAACTGTTGCCATGATGACCTCGACCAATAAATAAAGGTTCACTACCACTTACTGTCTCACCCACTGGTATGGCATTCGGTGGTATATTTGCCCCAAAGCAGGGTTGCCAACTGTAATTATCACCCACCAATAGTTCATAGTGTGTTTTAGAATGTTCGCTACCGGCATATGATATATAGGCAGCTCTTTTACTGGGTATTACTTTGACTGGCAGCTGATTACCTTCATGATATGAACGTCCCACATATATTGGACTACCGTCCATATCGTAACCACCTACAACGGCATTAGGCGGTAGAGGAGCATAAGGTGACGAATGTAACCATTTAGTGGCTAAAATTAAATGAGTTTATTATTTTTTCAGGATTTGAAAGTTTTAAAAATTCTGGAATATTCGCAAATTTTTAAATTTTTTAACATTAATTTGTTATAATCATACATAAACACATTTAAGTTCTTTTTTTTCGAAACTCACACCAAAATGTTCTATTTGTTTATAATAATTGATTAATCTTTAGTTTTATTTTAAAACTTTGTTTGCCTTAGACTTTGTTTAAATAAAAACTTACCCATTTATAACTATTTATTTGTTTAAGACAATTTCTTTGGAAAAAAAACAATATTTTAAAAGCAATATTTTATGTACGTTATCGTTGACTAACTTGACTGACTTCTTAACTTGTTGTTATTTAGTGGCGAAATGCTAAAGCTGATTCATGTGTCCATAATCGAAAACAATTCTTTTTTATCAACGATATTTAATAAAAACAAAAGAAAAATTAACAAAAAAAAAAAAAAAAAACAAAATACTTTTACTGTTGCTTCCAATAAAAATGAAAGAGTTCAAGATAAAGAAAGCTCAATTTCCAAAAACAAATCCATGACAATGAGTCAACCAGTGGTATTCTGTTTAAAGGGTTTTGAGTATATTAATAAATAAATTACTGTTTTTCAGAATTTCAGTTTCAGAAATTTTAAAAATTTCCAATAAGTTTTTTAATTTGATTCTGAAAAAGCTTTTTGTCTAGCTTTCATTTTCATATTTTTGAAAGCTTTGCTCTAGCTGTTTCGTTTTTAAGTTTGAGATACTGATCTGTTGCCCAATTCTGGCATTGGAAAGCCTTCGAAAATTCTAATAAAATTTGTCAAAATTCTATCGAGTTTTCGTTAGCTTTAGAATGTCGGAATTTGTGCCCTGAAGAACTTTTTTCTGTTTTAATGTTTTAAAATCAATAGATTGTAGTTAAACTATAGAATTGACCAATATTGGAAGACTTTAACTCATAATAATACATGATTAATAAAACAATGGACTTGCAATTGGCTCCATAAGGTTATGGTGGATCAAGTGCTGGAGGCATTGGTTACTTCAGGAGTATTGCTACTGACAGAGAACAACCGGCAATTTTGCTGGTATTAGTAGGCAATACTTTTAATAACTGGAATATTTAAGAAACCCTTTTTAAAACACATCAGTAATTATCGAAAATGTATATATTTTTGAATCAACTTTCGCCGAGTAATGACTCGGAAATTGTAAAAAAACTTCCAGATATAGGGCAATTTTCTTAGATTTTTTTTAAATTCTGAATTAACATTCCATTAACACTGCAAGTGACAAAAAGTGTAATAGAAACTCAAAGGGACTTCCCCAGTTATATCCCATTTTCTATTAAAAAACTTTCAAATATCAGTTTTTGGAAGTTTTGGAATTTTCGCTTAACATTACTCGATAAGTGTAAAAAGCTTAATGGAAAGACAATGGTAGGTACTTCCCCACCAACTTCCAGGCACAAAACTATAACAAACTGAATGGAAATGTTTGGAATAGTGATTTCTATTACTCACTACAATAGCTCAAAAAAAAACACGTCAGATCTAAAAGTTTAAATGTAAAATGTTTATTAAATTTCCCATTTCACAAGTTATGATAAGATTAAAGGTCTAGATACAGATACAGGGTGTCATTATGTCATAATAAACATTTCATATTTAGGTTATAAAAACTATATACATATTTATCGTAACTGTATCATGACTTCAACACCCAGTATATACCGGCAACAATGGTGTTTTATCAGGTGTTTGTGAAAACAACAAGAACAAAAAATGTATTGTATCAGCAGAAGGAGCTGATAAGAGAAATAAAAAAACAAACTTGTTAAATAAATTTGTTCTTCTCAAGCGTTTCAGTTACAGTTAAAAGCTCAAAGACTAAAGAACGTTATATTTAATATTTAAAAAATTTTAATAGTTTTTCTGATAAATAAATTAAAAAAAAAAAACATCACAATGGGTAAGTGGAAAAAAGTATTGTAAATTTATGAAAATAAAAGTGTATTAAATGAAATGGAAAACTTTGTAATTGAAAGGTAAATAAAAATTTTCACTTTTTAGTTGTAATAAAATATGTAGATAATTTTACAAGATTTTTACAAGAAATCATTGCTAAACTATTATTAGCAAATGTTTTTCGAACAAGAACATTTTTACAATTTAAACCCAGTGTTTTTTCTCATTGTATGTGGTTCCATTTATTTCGTGTAATATTTGAAAAACCTTAAAGTTTTTTTTTTATTAAACATTTACATTTACAAAAGTTTTTATTTTAATCTTTAGTAGGTGTCTTAATTTTATAACTAAAAGAACTTTGTAGAATTTCTATCTATAGTACCTGCCATAGTCAGTGAATTTAAGTTATTGTGATAAAGCTATTTCAAACTTTATCAATTTATCAGTAACGAGTCAAAACAAAAACAAATACGATAGTTAGTTATAAGCGGTAATAACGAATCTTATATTCACTACAATTAAAAATGTTTTTTTAAGAAAATCGTTTTTTAAGAAACTTGAAATTTAGAATGAATCCTATACCTCCATTAGAAAATGATTTGAATTAAACCACAATCAATTTCAAGACCTCTGCAAAAAAATGTGGTTACATTGGAACCCTTATAGTTTGTGCAATTTCATTTCAATTTAAAGTGACCCAACTCAAAAAATCGATTTTGATGAAATTTGCACCAATATTAGTCCAATTGGATGGTATGCCAGACACAAATTTTTAGCTCTATCGGTCCAGAACTGCCGGATATCTATTTCTTTATTGTTTCCGGCAGTTCTTAACCGATAGAGCTGAAAATTTGTGTCTGATCTCCTATCCAATAGTACTAACCTGATGAAAATTTCATCAAAATCGGAAGACATCAATTTTAAAAATTGGGTCATATATAACGATGAAAAATTGGAAGAAGGATAAGAATCACAGCCTTGATCAACTCAGAATCACTTTCTGAGATGATAACTCCACAGCAGTTCTTCTTATCGAACTACAAGTCGCAATTATTATAATAAGTATCGCGATCAAATTCACCATAAATAAGTTTAACATAATACGCCTTAATACATTCAACAAATTTTATGAAGTTCGATTCATATTAGACCCTAGTGCCCTTAAGTTCCTTTTAGTCACCATTAAATCTCATGAATATATCGCTTTTAGTATAAAATTTATCTATTATAAGAAAACTTTGTTTTTTCAAACTCTGTGGAGTTTGATTCATTGTTGATCCAAACCCCCATAAAGGGCCTCTTTCAAAACTCAGTCTAATCGTTGCAGATTTCATATTTTTAACGAAAATTTAATAAGGGGTAGGTCTAAAAATTAAAAAAAAAAAAAATAAATCGATTGTATATATAAACTATCAAATGGTTTTTATTATTTGTGTCTATTACAAATCAAAAAAATATTTCCCACAATTAGTGGTTTGATATTTTATGTCAAATATTTGATAGATGTGAACGTACCTTAAGTTTTTTTAACATTGTTTGCTATAGGGTATTGTGATCTATAATTAAATACTTTAGTAACGCCATTTTTTTATTCAATAACCGTTATATTTCCATTAAACCTTTTCGTTGCAGCAGGAATTTCTAGTTCATTGGAAATTCATACTTCAACCTTAAATAACGATTTTTTCTACTGATTAATAAATTTATTGTATTGATTAAATTTTATTGTTATGCAGACATATGGAGATAATAATAATTTGAAGGTTTTTTATAACTAATTTTGTTATAAAAAAACTTAAAATGTTTGTTGTTTTTCATATTCAAATGTCATTAAACTTTCTCAAAAGACATTAAACCTTTAAGTCCACATATTAACAATTCCTAAATAGGGTAGCTTATTTGTAAAAACAATGTGTCAATTAAATGACTTATCTTATAGTTGGTTACTAAAAATGATTCATTATGATCGTTTATTTCCTACTATACACACTCTAGATAATTTTATACATACTTACATACATATGTATGTATTTACCTTCATATGTCTTGACAAATATTTATCTTCTTACAAAAGTTTTTTTATTTGCAAATAATTTAACAATAAACAAATTAATATTGTGTAAATAATTACCAATTGTATTTTAAAAAAACATGTGTAAAATATGTTTTATATTTTTTGCAGTTATCGACGAATTCTTTAGAGTCATTGATATTAACACTTTATTTTTAAAACCCGGGTATCGAAATAGATTAAATTATTATTAATTACAAGCTTTTTTAAATGCAAAACTTTTACCAAAGATCATAAATCATCAACCACAGTTATAATACAAGTCATTAGGGTGGTAACAATAATAAAGAAACTTTCTCAATTTGTTTTAACTTGGAAATTAATGTTTAATACTGTTTATGATGAACTGAAATAAACTTTTGATTTTATAAAAGTAATTTCTTTTTATAAAGGTACCACCGTAATATCTGTAAATAGTTAACGTTTGTGTTTAATGCGGTTTTTATATTATTAAATTTTATGAATATTTCATAGATATTTTTATTATATTTTCCAGCTAACAGATGAAGTTTTTTCTTTAAAATACCAGTTAAAAATACACTTAGTTATCAGTCTTATTAATTGATAAAAAAATAGATTTTTATAAAAAAAAACAACTTGAAATTATTGCAAATAAACTCTAGTTTATAGTTCCCCTTAAGGGATGAACATTGTTCATAAGTTTTAGAAAACTTTAGTAAAATTTCGTTCCTTAAAGTTTTTTATAAAACTTTAATATTTCTACTGAATATAAGCAATAAACTGCATGGATCTATAGGCCATTTTAAAGTTTTGTAAATTCCATTAATTGTAGGCTGGAACATTACAATATTAAATACAAAGTTTTAAATTTTAAATAAATGTGCATTTTTTTTTCTCCGACACACACAGATCACACCTGGGTTGCCACAAATGTTTATGAAGATTTGCCACCATTCGCCATTCATGCCGGTCACGATTCCGATGGTGATCCCATTTATGTTGGACGTGCTTACCACAATGGTGACATGTTGCCCGCCAAAGTAGTGCCAAACAAGAAACAAGCCTATGTAGCCTGGGGTGGTGAGGAAATCAACAAACATGATGTGGAAATTTTAACCGGTCATCATTATGGTAGGTTCAACTAAGTTTTCTTAACTTTTGAAAAAAGATTTTATGCAAAAAAAATATCTTTTTACAGTTTGGATTCCGAGCAGTGGTGGCAGTGTACCACCCCATGCCTTACAGGTGGGTTCAACTAGTGATGGTGAGCCCCTGTATGTGGGTCGCGGTCATTGGTGCGGCAGTTTGACTCCCGGTAAAATTCATCCCTCTCATGGTTGTTTGTATATTCCCTATGGTGGAGGTGAACACAAAATCGAACACTATGAAGTTTTGGTACAACCAGAAACTTGGGTTTCCTCTTCGGGTAGTAATATTGTACCTGGTACTATTATTGCCGGCAATGATGCTGATGGTGATCCAATTTATGTTGGCCGTGCCTATCACGATGGTGACTTATTGCCCGCCAAGGTTGTACCCAATAAGGGCTGCGCCTATGTAGCCTATGGCGGTCAAGAACATTGCAAATATGATTTCGAACTCTTAGCTGGTTACGGTTATGGTTGGGTACCCGATAGCAATGGCAGTGTACCACCTGGTGCTATTGTTTGCGGTCGCACCGCCGATGGTGAGCCCTTGTACATTGGTCGTGGTCATTGGTGCGGTAGTTTGACTCCCGGTAAAATTCATCCCTCTCATGGCTGTTTGTATATACCTTTTGGTGGTCAAGAGGTGCGCATTCATGATTATGAAGTTTTAGTCAGAGCCTAAGTGGTTTCGTTATTAATTAATGTTTGTGTTTTTGTTTACCCCAGTAATTTAATTTTATTTAATGTAATGTATTAATAATTTTTGTTATGACTTTTATTTAATAAAGAACAAAATTTTTGAAAAAAAATTCCATTAATGGATAAATTTTAAATAAACACTATATGTGTCCATTTACTTTTTGTTATAAAAATTCAGTTCAGGTATGATTCTAAAATATATTTCGACTTAATTAAATTTGAGTTATAAGTCTGTATGAGAGCAATATTAGTGGTCAAACATCTCGATATTTAATGCCATTTTATGTTTATTAGAAATGGACAATTCAGTACTATTGCACTTTTCAAACAAAATGTTATAAGTACTTCATTTATTGGTCAAAATATTTCTCTATGGACTTGTCCAAAAAGTTGTCAGAAGACTAGTCCACATATTAACGCGTACACTGACTAGTCTATACTATGAAGTTAAGTTCATAGGCTTGCCTTCAGTTTAGATCATAGAATAGTTCATTGAATATCAAAATTTGAAAATGTCGAAACCCAAGGACTAAAGTTCACATTTCTAAAGGATTGAGCAACGCTGAATCTGGCTTCAATTTCTCCATCACATTAGGGTTTTCAGATATCGTGTCAATAGACCATTGACTCGCAACAAAGACTAGTCTATATACTAGTTCATAGACTTGTCTATAGACTAGAGAAGAGATTAGTTCATAGAATAGGCAGTGGGTTATTCTATTGACTAATCGAAAGAATCGGCAAAAGACAAGTCAATAGACTTATCTATATACTAGACCTTTTCTAAAGACCATAGAGTTGTTTATAGATTAGTCAATCGATTAGTTCATAGTCAATATACTATTGTATATATTACTAGGTTTAGATTAGTCTATAGGCTAGTCCATAAACTAGGCAAAAGACTCGTACATAGACTTATCTACTTCATACATTAGTCAGTATAATTGCACTGCTTCCATTTGTAAACAATATCCAAACATGTTAATCATACATAATTACATTTCTAAATCTTCAATTCTTTTCAATATTTCTTTAATTTGTTACTAAACTTTCATTTAATAATTGTTTTAAAATACAATTTTTTCATATAGTTTCCTTGTACGTACACTTTTTTTCATTTCCTTCATAGTCACCATTTTTTATTTGCATTGTAAAAACAGTTTTTCGCTGTATCTTTTAAAACAATATTCGCTGTGCTGGTCATAAAAAAAATTCGCTTCATACACACTCTCTCTCTCTCTTTATAAAAATAAAAATCTCTTTTTTCATCAGCAGAGCAACGAAAATAAAGTGAAAAGAAAAACAAAAAAAGTAAGAGAAACGAAAAGCAATAAACCCCACCCCTTATTTAATACTCAATTCAGCACTCTATGGGCTCTTTATAGGGAATTAACCAATCACAGCGAAACTAAAAGCCGAAGTGTGTTCGTGTACTTATTTGTTAAATGACATAAATAATACAAAAAATAAAGAAAAATGTCTAGATTAACGAAATAGATTAAATTATTTATTTGACAGATAACAAATTTTACACAAAAAACATTAAAGTTAATTATTGTTTATAAAGAACACTAATAAAACTGTTAATAGTTTATAAAATGTTAATAAATAGCTATTTTTATTTTATATTGTTAATTAAAAACTATTTTTTTAGTTTTTTTAAAGAAACTGCTGTTTAATTATTTTGTTCCTTATTTTTATTAATTATTTTTTAAATTTATTTTCACAGCAACAGTTTTTCTTTTACAAAAGTTCTCTCTTGTAATTTCCTTGTCTTACACTTTCCGTCGGCATTTGTATTTTTTGCTGGCCAACAAACACAAACAGGTTGTGTCATGCATTTTTTAATTTCAGCCATATTGGACATAAAAATATCTGTGTGTTTACATTTTTTTAAGCTTTTTTCATGCGAATTTGTCATTCTTGCAAAAGAATCGTTTCATTTTTGGAAACGATTTCAGAGTTTCTTTTAACGATAACATATTTGTATATTTTTTTTTGTAGAAATTAGGTATAAGAAGTTCTTGTTATCGTTTAAAAGAGTGAATTTTTTTGACATTGCAGATTTGGATTCTGGGACATGACACCGCAAAACGAATTTTTTTTTTGTAAGTCAAAAATTTTGAGTTGAGTTTCAAAGGAGAATGTATCAGAAATAAGTACACTTAGGCCACTATCGGGACTGTTGTGCGCTCCTTTACAATGGAGCGAATAAACACATCAGAATCCAAACATTTTGGGAGCGATATTATAAGGAATTACCTACGTCCAGCAAACTAAGTTTCTGAATCATCACTCGATAAGTAATTCCACTTTAAGGCTTACTTGCTCCCAAAAGATATGTCTATGAAATTGTGCACATAACAGTTCCAGTACCAGATAGTGTTTGATATACCGTGTAATTTCCATTCGATAACTCTATAACATCTTCGTATGTCTCGTCTAGAAATAACCCCCACAGTTGTCCTAACGATGTGAAGGGGTGTTCAATAAGAATTAATTTTTTCTAACGAGAAAGTGAAATTGTATGTAATTTCGTAAAATTTCCGACATCAAACGTGTATGCAATCAGTAGTGAGGCAAAGTTTTTAATAAGATTCGGATTCGATTAAAATTGCTGTCCTTAACATGTGATTCAACAACAATGGATTATAGGTATTTTGTGACGTTATGTTAAAGATAGAGTCTGTTCAATGTCATTGAAACTCAAAATTCTTGACATAATTAACAAAATAAAGCTATCATTGAAAATGTTTGATCCAAGAATCGACATTCGTATAATCTTATTCTTTCTAATATATTCAAAATTTTAAAGATTTTTTTTACCTATCAGTTCTATGTTTTATTTTATTTTTTGTTGCTAAAAACCCTATAGGTATTTCTTAAGTTTCAAATACCGTCGGCATTATGTGATCAAAATTTAATTTTTTTGGCTAATGTTTACTAAAAACCAATTTTTTTCTAAGTCACATTTCCTAGACTTTTAGTTTAACACCGTAATCAATAAATATTCAAAATTCAGGATTGAATTCTAGTGATAACTTTTATCAAAGACGGAGTTTTTTTCACAGATAAAAATTATTTCGGAGTAAAATTTACGCAAACTTTCGTTAGTATAAAGTTAGTTAAAAAATAACCCCAGTATTCATAAAATTACATAGGCCAAGAATACAAATCTGACCTTAGGATTTCTCCATCACATCAAGTTTTCTAGATATCGTGCCCTTAAAATCGAAAATCCATGTTTTTTCCCATATTTGAGACGTTATAGCAGCGCAAAGACATCTTTATTTATAAAGTTTTGTTCTGTAGTCTAAAAGTTCAATCTGTCGTTTTAAAGTATGAGGAAGATATAACAAAGGTTAATCCTTTATTTTATAGACGTCAGAAAGTCGACTTTCTGATGACAAAACAGATTTTATAAATAAAGATGTCTTCGCGCTGTTATAACGTCTCAAATGTCACCAAAAAATTAAGTTTTTGCAACCTTAAGACACGATATCTAGAAAACTTGATGTAATGGAAGATTATGTGTTGTTCAATATACTTATATATATATGTATATACAGTATACTTTGGTTTAGACATTTTTCAAAATTTTGTTGATCTGTGTTATCTATGGTATATTTTTGATTTATTAATCACATTTGCCATACAAAATTCGTACAATAAACCATAAATAACTTTATTAAGCTTTTATGAAAACAGGGTACCTATTATTTAATCAATTATGGATCTATTGCCATATCAAAATTCCTAATTATTGAGTAATTTATTGGTATGTATTTTTCAAAACTATGATATGTAGGTATTTTAAAATATGTATGTATTTATATTTCACGCGTTCGTTAAACCGCTGATTTGGCAACATTTTTTATTTTCAATTATTATTTTTTTTGCATTTTTTATAGGTATGAAGCGCATAAAATAAATCCAGCAAAAACTACAAAAAACTTCCTTTACCTTCACCATTAATAAGAAATCAAAAGAATTTTATAAATTCAACAACGCAATTTTATTTATTTGCCACTTAAAATGCAAATTTCTTGTAGTAATGCGCCGTAAACAATACAAATCAAAGAAAACAAAAAAAGCAAAAAAATTGTGCATATTTTTGTTTTGTTTCTTTTTTCACAAACGCAAAGAGTGCCACCCATTTAAAAATACATACATTTGTGTGTTTGTTTTCTTTTTGTATTAAAAAGAGAAATAATAACAACAAAAAATCGTAATAAAAAATGATAATCTCTTAGAAGGCTTTAGGCGGTATGTTTGTTGTTATTGTCGTGCATACAAACACACACACCAACAAAGAAAAGACAATAAGAAAGCAGCACAGAACAAGAAGACGCAACTTCTTCACATATAATTATATTCAGTTTAGTGCAAGCAACCGTTCATTGACTGTTAAAGAAACCCTTTTTTTCCTGTTCAGTGTCGATATTTTTTATTGTTAATGGTGATTTTCATAGACATTAAACTAAAATAATAAAATAAATTGTGTTGGAATAACTTGGAAATACAATAAAATGTGTTTTCTACTCAAACTCTTACCGCGCCCACTCAAAAGTGAAAATGAAAAAACAAACCCTCATTAAAATATGGTAATAAGTGGAAAAATAAGAAAAGAAAGAGGAAAAAACAGAAAACCAGAAAAATGTGTTGAATTAAAACTTGTGTAGAACATTTTCAATGAAATACAACAAAAAAAAAAACTTGTGTAAATATGTATGAGTGGAATACAATTTTTATGCTCTTGTTTGAGTGAAAAATCGTTTGAGCTTCAATCACATTCATGCAATAGCTGTAAGTATATATTTTGTTGCTGTTTATTGTATTTTACTTTTTCTATATTTATCATAAACGTTTTTTTCACATAAACGATTCATTTGTACATAAACGAGTATGTACATTTGTAGTATTTATGCATATGTATGTGTTTTATATATAATACAATATGCTGCCTTTGCTCTATTGCAAGTATTGGGGCAATGTGTGTTTTTGTTGCTTGTTTTGTGTTCTCTAGTTATGTACAATTTATGTTTTTTCTGTTTGTTTTTTGCTTTTGCCCTTCTTTTCTCGTGTAACGAGTATAGCACAGAAACATCCATCCAAACCATCCATTCATTCAAAGCAACTATTCAGCCAACAATTTTGTTGTACAATTTTAATTCTACGCTGTTTATTACGTAGGGCACAGTGGGTTTTTCGATGAAAAAAGTGATAGATAGATAGATAGATAGATAGATAGATAGATAGATAGATAGATAGATAGATAGATAGATAGATAGATAGATAGATAGATAGATAGATAGATAGATAGATAGATAGATAGATAGATAGATAGATAGATAGATAGATAGATAGATAGATAGATAGATAGATAGATAGATAGATAGATAGATAGATAGATAGAATAGATAGATAGATAGATAGATAGATAGATAGATAGATAGATAGATAGATAGATAGATAGATAGATAGATAGATAGATAGATAGATAGATAGATAGATAGATAGATAGATAGATAGATAGATAGATAGATAGATAGATAGATAGATAGATAGATAGATAGATAGATAGATAGATAGATAGATATAGATAGATAGATAGATAGATAGATAGATAGATAGATAGATAGACCGATAGCTAGATAAAAAAATAATATGAATCCTCATCCTATAGCGTTTATTTAATCCAGTTCGTTAAAAGTTGCAAGAAACAGATGGGCTTACTGACTACATTAGTATATGATTCATACTTAGAACAGAGACGATGTCCTGAAAGTTGATGGTGGCAAAATCAAAGTTAAGATCTAGAAAATGTTTTAATGGAACAATTGAGGAATTGGAATTGAGCTGAAACACAGTAGAAACAATAATACTGCCTTAAGGTGCAATTTGTGTAACTCGTAGACGTCATAATTTAACAATATTTTGAATAGTTATATATTGGATTACATTACGGGCATTTCTCTACCAAAATACATTACAATTTTAATCTTCATAGTTATTTTATGGTAATAAATATTTATATTTTCTTCGAATCTTTTCCTCCTCATGGTCACTGTACATTGTCGACGTTATTGTATACGTTTTGTTATTACGACACTCTTTCATGCATTTCAATTTTACTTGTTTATGCTGTTGTAGTTGTTGTTTTCAAAGTATGAGTGTTTGTATGTTGCTATGTATGTATGTAAGTATGTAATGTATATTTGTACATTCTGTTGTAAATGAAATACTTCACAGTACGAGTAGATTGCTGCTTTAGCACGTTCAATTCTCAAACTCACTTCACTCACTCTCTCACAAACACAACAGCTTTTCAAAGATGTTTACATAAAGTGGACTGTTGTTTAACTTGACAATTTTACTGAACATTACTAAAGTTAAGACAAATTTTGTCTAATTCAAATTTTAATACCTATTTGCTTTTGATATTAATTAAGTAATCATTAAAATTAATTTGAAATCATACTACCTATAAAATTTTCATTGTAAAGTATGTAAATGTTTTTTTATTTTTGACAAAAAATAAAAACTCACACTTTACTTTCGGTAAAGTTGAGCCATCAATTGTAGCAGCCTCTTTGCAAGTAAAATGAAAAATTGTAAGGTATTTCAAATAATATAACAAAATCCATTTGCTGTTCTGTTGGATAAAGCGACGAACAGCAAACAAACATTTTATACAATTTTAACGTAATGGTGGTGGTTGTTGTAGTCGTCGTCACTGTGTACACAGTAGTCTGAAACGATCCCTGTTCAGAGAATTAAAAATAAGAGAAAATGCCATGAAATCGACACAATAAAACCAATGTTCGAAAAAAATATATATATCTTGCACTTATACAAGAGTATATACACAGTAGTAGTTTTGTGTGCGGCAGAGATGGAAATTTGTGATTGATAACAAAAGAGACAAGCACGATTTCAATTACAATTAAGTTTTGGGTGTAGTCAACAAAGGCATCAATCTCCATTTTATTACAGAGGTGGTGGTTAAATATCTTCCAAGAAAAATTACATGTACCCGGACGTAGGTTCATTTTCACACCAACGACCCCTCATTCTCATCTCACGATGGAACTATTATGACTAAAAAGGGTCTGGAGGAAAATCAATATATAAAGATACTAAAAATTACAACAACGTCCGTAGTTAAAGGTTAAATTCGGGAGAACGAAGATACTCTGGGGTGAAATGAGGTATTCGTCATATTATCTATCAGTCGATCAGGCGTTGTGAAATATTGCAAATTTATTTCTAACTAGAGCTTCGTGAAATGCTTTTGAAAAGAATCCACCGCGAATACTGTTCGTAAGTTTGTGCAAAAAATACCGACGAGAATGTGAGAGTTGTGACCAAAAAATGTGCAACATAATCCATTAAAATCGATTCATCATTAACATCAACAATACGAGCACTATAGAGTCATGGATCGCCATCGATATTAAAAAGGATTACGTACTTTTTATGGACTGAAGTAGAATCAGTGCACTTCTATAATTTTCATTTTAAGTGACAGAGCAGCTCATCAAAGAAAATATAAGTTCTCATCGTATTAGAGGCCTTCTTGGAAAAGTCAATTGGACGTCTTGGAGCTGAGATTTTTGAACTTATAACTATTTAAAGTTGGTCACCGTAAAAGACCGGTGATGTGCGTAACACTAACATCGTCCGAGGCATTCGTGAGATAGAAACACACTTTATGTTAGACCAGATTTATGGTTACGCCATTTGTACATAAATATAACGATTATTTTTCAGATATTTATTGAAATTTGGAAGAATAATGGAACAATCGACATTTGAGCTAATTGAAACACTGTTATAAATTTTAAATTTTATGGTTTATATATCCTAACTTTTAAATATGGACCTTCAGAGATTAGACTCAATGAACTCTGGCTGAGAACGGCTTTCGATTAAACCTAAAGTTAATATCAGTTCATGTAAAGTATTTTTATTTTCCAAAAAATCGATATTCAGAAAGAACTGAAACAAAATCTGTCAGAGAAAAGATATCAAAATTGAAGCAGATACAAGTTTGAATCTTAAAACATCCTCCCTATTGCAAGGAAAAACAATTTGGAACCAGTTTATTTCATTGAATTAATTAAATTTAATTTTATTGCAAAAGTTCAAAACAAAGTGAAGAACCACACATTTTCCAACCCTGTCAGAAATGCACTATACAATAATGATGGTAATGATGACGAAAATAATATAAAGAGAAAATAACAAAAAGAAAGAAAACAAAATAAAAAAATCGAAAATTCAGCATAAAAATTAAACTGCAAATCCAACACTCAATACAGTTTATATACACTGTAGGAATAAATGCATAAATACATGGAATTGTATCTACAATTGTGTGGGTATATGACGTACAATCATTAGCCAGCCAGCAATCCGGAGTATGTGGTGAGTGTGTCTCAAATTTGGAATTTTAACCCCCATATAACACACATCAAAACAAGACTTTATATAAGTATAGCACAAGTTTTTGTATAAAATTTTCGTTTGGATTTACATTTGAAATTCATAAATACAATTTGTTGGTTAGCGATGATGGTGGTGGTAAGTTTTCTATGGTTTCTTTTATCGTTGTTGTCGTCGTTGCAAGTTCTTTACATATTCATTTATCACAACGTATCCACTATGTTATTGTTATACATCCAATCATTCAATCATTAAGCCATGCCACACACGGCTGTTCCAAATAAACACTCAAACTCTTTCTTTCGGCTCTGCTTATGGTTGAATGAATGTTCGATATTGGGAGATTGTTTGTTGTTGTTGTATGTTTGTTTCTTGTAGTTTTATTATGTAGAATATAAAACCAAATCATGCAACCTAAGCATGGTATAGGAAAATAAAATCCATATAAAACAACTGACGACATCAGTCACAGAGCTAAAAAAACAACAACAAAAACACAGTGTATGTTCACCGTACGTTATGGTTCCACTTTAATAATGTCAAATATGTACATAAGAGAATAATTTCAGCTTTAAGTAAAAAACCCCAAACAATCCAAAAACAAAAGCAATGAGTACGACATACTTTTATGCTCAAACAGGAAAGATACATACATACATATATATGTACATACATAACAAAATATGCATGAGTGTTTCAATGTAGCTCGTTTCATCCGAGAGTACAAGTTTCTTTTGTATGAATAACCGGTACGATGGTAAGCTTAAAAATACATTTGTCAATGACAGGTTTATGTTATTGAATGTTATGTATGTATACCTATCAATGACTGCTGCATACCATCTACATTACTAGGAAGTAGTGAAATAATAGATGTTATTATCAGAGTGTTTAATATTAAAGTTTAGAAACTATCCTTCATAAATCACAACGCTGTTAAAAATAATGTATATATGCATAATGTTTAATACTATATATCTGAATCCGGTCCGCTTACAGGTACACTCTGGTTCTCTGATCTTTCGCATAGATAGTTCTTTAAGTATACCAAATCATCTTCCTAACTTATCATATTTATTCCTTTTTTAAAAGAGACTTAACACATATGCCAGGGAAGAAGGGTTTAACAATTAATTTTTGTACTGCACTCGTATTTCTTATATTAGAGTACAAAAATCTATATGAATATCATACATACTTACAGATATATAAACATTTAAATATAAAATGTATATAAAATCTTTTACATACATACATATTTACCTAAATATTTACATTTAACCCATTATATACTCGTAGACACTCACATATTGCTAAAGCTGTAAAATGAGTTTTTACAAAATTTTAAAAAAATACTC